CAATATCACCTGTAAGGAGCCTTACCTGGTCCCAGATGAAAGGGCCATGCCTATATCACCTGTACGGAGCCTTACCTGGTCCACAGATAAAAGAACCATGCCTACATCTCCTGTACGGAGCCTTACCTGGTCCCAGATAAAAGAACAATGCCAATACCACCTGTACGGAGCCTTACCTGGTCCCAGATGAAAGGGCCATGCCTATATCACCTGTACGGAGCCTTACCTGGTCCACAGATAAAAGACCATGCCAATATCAACCTGTAACGGAGCCTTACCTGGTCCACAGATAAAAGACAATGCCTATATCACCTGTACGGAGCCTTACCTGGTCCCAGATGAAAGGGCCATGCCTATATCACCTGTACGGAGCCTTACCTGGTCCCCAGATAAAAGAACCATGCCTACATCACCTGTACGGAGCCTTACCTGGTCCACAGATGAAAGGGCCATGCCAATATCACCTGTACGGAGCCTTACATGGTCCACAGATAAAAGAACAATGCCAATATTACCTGTACGGTGGCTTACCTGGTCCACAGATGAAAGGGCCATGTAAATATTACCTGTACGGAGCCTTATCTGGTCCACGTTACTGTACCCTCTAGTGGACCAACTCCCCTGGCATGTTATCTTTCTATTTGGCCGATTTCTACTCTTTCCAGCCGCCACCCTGAGCTTGATAGAGACTAAGAAGGGACACGCAATTTCAACGACTGCACAATGCAAAATTACGCACGTCGTACTGCAATGTAAACAAGAAGGTTAAATATAAATACAAATCTACAAGATTTTAAACCTCCTTGAATATAACGTTAGCCATATAACCAAATATGATGTTTTGGCGGTAGATCCTCTCCTAAAATCCACTCAAATATCATCTGTATGGTGCCTTTCCTGGTCCCCCGAGCTTATAGCCACAAAAATGCAGTAAATTTAGTTGTAAAAGCTGAGGTTTTTGCACCTAAAATCGAGGCAAAGACGTCGGTAGCCCTCCCCACACTAGCGAAACCGCGATTGCATGCGAAACTATTGCTCCCCGTTACTGTTTTTGATCGACCAATGGGATTGTGTCGATTATATAGCATTGACCAATAGGAGTGTGGCTCTTCCACCGTGGCTGACCGAACTGGGGAGACGACTGCAATACCTCTTTTAAACATGGCGGACGAAGGAGAAAAATCTTTAGCTTTTCACGAAATGGGCTTAGACGACCGTCTCCTAAAGGTTAGTGCAGTGTTTTTACAGAATCACAACGTTCTAAATGCTTAACTGATAGATTCTGTCGCCCAGCTATTTGACTGTTTGTTTTAGTTGTTATAGAAATCAAAGTTTCGATGAAGCGGTACGTATGTGAAAGTGGGGAGGGGGGCAGATGGTGAACACGTGTTTTGGTTTTCACATGTGCGTACACGTATTTCCCCCAGCACGAGAAACTTCAGATAAACCATGCCACATGCAGTGTGTATGTTTGTACGGAAAGACAAAAGAAATCAACATTGAAGTACACGATAGCAACGGTGAACGTCTTTATTCTTGTAAACCTAATGCAACAGAGTCCATATTTTGCATGTGTATAACTGCCTGTATGTACTTTAGTAACTACTCCAACACTATGTTGTTTTCTTGTTGTATCGAAATATGACAGGCCATAGCTAGCCAAGGATGGCGTCATCCAACACTTATTCAGGTGAGAAATGATCACTGAACTTTACTGTACCAGTACGGTACTACTGCTTGTTTACCCACTATAATTTGCATTCTGCACTGCACAAAGACATAACACATGTACACATAACATGCTTTAAAGGGTTTTTTGCCACGTTTATTTTTCGCCGTCCGTGGCTATTGACACTCCTGGTGTGGATATAAGGGACAAAAAGTTCATCAATATGTACACCGGAATACTAGCCTCCTTGCAATTGGCAGGCCCAAAACTTTGGTTTTGGTGTGTGTTTGGGGCTTCTGGGGCTTCAAGTTTAAACCTTGGGGCTCAAGTTTAACTTAGTGGATGTCGAAAAGGCTGACAATCACAAAACAACACGGAAATCCCCCCGAAGTTCCAAAACCCAGGGTTTTGACTTGCGACTAGAATGTCAGCCAAAGCCAACATGGCGGCCGTGCTGTGGTGCGACATGGACAGAATTCATGGGACATAATTTTCTTATATTCACACTTGGTGTGGATTTAAGGGACAAAAAAATTCTTATATGCATACCGGGAGTGTCAATAGCCACGTTTGTACTTCAAAGTTGGTACCTCAACCAACCACAAGTAGTCAGCTAGATAGCTCTGCTCAGTAGCTATCCTTGTGTTACACTTGTGGGACAGCAATAGCTGGTGTTTTCTGACGTGGCAGGCTGTTCTAGCTTGTCATGTCCTGTATGGACACCTCTTTGCCACCATTTCTTGAGAGTTGGTCCTGTTTGTACCTGATTACAAGGACCATAGTGTATGAAATGGACATTTTTCTCAGTCACTCATCAATGACTTGAAAGGTTATGATTACATGCACTTAACTACTGTTAAGCTACTGGGATTATTCAGGCAATGCTTAACTTGTGTTACAATCTCTCTAGCTGTCAGTGGCTGATTGGGCCTCCTCGAGTGAGAGCTGACCAGTGAAAGGGCAGCTACACGTAGAGGCATAATGTAGTAGGCTATTGCAAAGATGACATGTAGAGAAAACACTTCTGGATATGTCCACAGGAACGGTCCATTCCTCTGGCCCTGGAGGGTAAGGACCTGTTAGCGAGGGCGAGAACTGGCTCAGGGAAAACTGCAGCCTTCGTTATCCCCATCATTCAGCGCATTCTGGACGGAAAACAGGTTCTTATTCTTTTGGATTATGCTTTTGACTTGTGTATAAAACTTACAGATAACATAAATAAAACTTGGTATTTATGTGTACAACAATATCATTTTATGTATTACAACAACGTGTATTGCATATAGAAGATGTTGATTTGCAGAATAGCATTTTTAGACATTTTTTCTCTGTTCATTCTTATATAGGCAGCCAAAGAACAGGCAGTGAAGGCCCTTGTACTGACACCCGCTAAGGAGCTGTGCAGTCAGGCTTACAAGAACTGTGTGGTGTGTACATGTACATGTGTAGATGTATCCTTCTGTATCATTTAATGAAAAATAATGTTTGTACAAAGTACACACTGATGTTAGTGAACATCGTACCTTGCAAATCTTCTACATGTAGATTTTGATACCTACTACAATCAAGTTAAAACCAAATATTATGGCAGTATGATACTTAAGTGCTTGGTGGCACAAGCAGTTTAACTACATTTATACAGTGCATGTACTAGTATATAGGGATAGAGCATAAGAATTTTGATAGTACATTTTGCACTGTAGAGGTTTGCACTTTTGGAGTGGTTCTTTCAATCTGTTCTTCCCACACAGGCCCTAAGCAGCTGTTGTTCCCGGGAAGTCAGGTGTTTGGATATCTCTGGCTCTGCTGACATCACTTCACAAAGGTACCCAGGGTTCTCACCAGAACTTTTTCTGCATCAGTTGGCAATTCTTGGGCCAAAAATCATTTACAATTGTGTCATAACCTCCTGTAGTTGAAGACTCACTTGTGCAGTTCTTTTGATAGTCACTAGGAGGCACCACACAGTGTTGCCCCAGACTAGGCCGGAATATGCTGTTCAAAAAAGTTATATGAATGGTCTTTGGATTATCATATTAATGATCTCTACTGCCAGAAATGATGATGATGATGGACAATTATATAGCAACAACAGTACAGTAACTACAAGGCTAATCTGTCCTATATTTATAAGTACAATAAATATATTATCGACAACAGTAAGATGTACAAACCATAGATAGGTATATGTATAAAAGTATATTTCTATTTTCTAGACCCATGTTGATGGAGAAGCCTGATGTTGTGATTGGGACCCCCAGCAGAGTTTTGGCACACATCCAGGGGGGGAACCTGGAGCTGAAGAACTCATTAGAGATGCTTGTGATTGATGAGGCTGATCTTGTGTTCTCCTTCGGATACGAGAAAGACATCAAAACACTGTTGGGGTATGTACACAAGTCTTGTGCCAGGCTGTTGGATAGAAAAACTGTTTGTCTGGAAGGTTGTACAATATATTTTGTAATGTGTAATTTGCTCTGTCAGCCTCTGTGATATGTAATGTGTTGTGCACAATATCAGCCATTGCTACATGTGTTCCACTTGTACTGTGGCACTCCAAGTCAAACCACATTTTGTTATACAAGCTTGTAAAGCACAGAAAGGAATATGAGACTTGAAAAAATAATTTATCAATGTTTATCCTCCAGACATTTGCCCAAGATCTATCAGGCATTTCTGATGTCTGCAACACTGAGTGAGGTGAGTAGGATCAGTACAATGTTTTTGTGTAGCTTTCATTATACATGTATGTAACATCAGCCATAAGGGACAAAGGTTAAATCCCTATTTTCACTAGACAGTGACTGCTGAGCAATCAAGATGAAAGAAATACCTTCACAGCTCCAATTTTTACCTGCATCCTATAGATGTAGTTACTCAGTAAGTAATTTTTTTAAAAATCCTTGTGACTAGGATGTCCAAGCGTTGAAGAAACTGATCCTCCACAACCCCGTGACCCTGAAACTGGAGGAGTCTCAGCTTCCTGAGGCAGACAGACTGACTCAGTACCACATCAAGTGTGAGGAGAGCGACAAGTTTCTCCTCATCTACACACTCCTCAAGCTGCGCCTGGTCAGGGGGAAAACCATCCTGTTTGTCAACTCCATTGACAGGTGTTACAGGTCAGACCTGTTTCCACAGGACCAGTTAGAGTGACATTGTATAATGTAGAGTCTAGAAGCACAAGTCACTGGCTGTGGCCTAAAAGGAAAACTTGGGGTGATGAGTTTTTGTCGTTATGACAACATGACCTCATAATTATTATAGTTCAAAGAAATACATGAACATCTGCAGTATACATACATTCATGAAAATTCTTATTACCTTTCCATCTGTCTTTCCCCCATGCAGGCTGAAGTTGTTCCTAGAACAGTTTTCCATCCCAGCGTGTGTGTTGAACTCTGAACTCCCAGTATCCTCCAGGTAAGGGAACTACACTGAGGGCACAAATGGCACAGGCAAGCACATGTATGGGAACCAGGGCTCAAATTTCATTTTTAGAGTAGGTTCTCTGGTCAGGGCTTAAAATACTGGGTGCATGTGCACCTTAGTGCACCCAAATATTTTTGTAGGTTTACATATGTAAATATAGTAATATATAGGATATTTTTAATATCTTAGTGTCAGAAAAATAATCATTGTTATAGTATGAGCAGAGAAAACAGCATGGGCCATTTTGAATGTGTTTGGAAAGACTCAGCCAGGGATCAAACTTACCTGTACTGTACCTACCGAATGCAAGGTAACACAATCATTACCCAATCAGGCCATAGTACCATTAATTTGATTAACAGAATGATACTGAGTCAGCAGTTACTTACTGAGTCTTATTGAGTCTGTGTAATGATGTTTTTTTGTATCCACCCTAGATGTCACATTGTGGACCAGTTTAACCAGGGACTCTACAACCTGGTGATAGCCACAGACGAGAGTGCACTGGATGCTGAGGATTCCAGCATGAAGGACAAGACGGGGAAAGCCAAGAAAAAGGCCAAAAGATTGTGAGTGAGACGCTTTATTGTATTGTTTGTGAGTAAGTGAGAGAGAGTACATGTAAGTGCTGTATTTTAGAAATGTAGAAAAGTGAAGTGAACGTCTATTTTTGAACACTTCTCTGTTTGTTTTCAGCAAGAAGAAAAAGGACAAGGAGTATGGCGTTTCTCGTGGCATCGACTTCCAGTTTGTGTCCAACGTCATCAACTTTGACTTCCCGGCACAGGTGGAGGCCTACATACACAGGGTGGGCAGGTGAGCTGGGCAGGAGGTTTTCATTCATTGATCATGTGTTTTTTAGGTTTTAATGTGGTCTGTGGTTGGGGTTGTTGATTTAGGATCTGAAGGGCCTGGGTTTGAATCCCAAGTAGGCCCTTCTGTTGTGCCAAGGGAAAGGTACTTAACACCTATTACATCACTCTACTCAGCTGAAGATGAGTACATACAAATGTACCTACATTGGTTTGGTTAAGATCACGGCATGATAGTTACATCACAATATAGCAAGGAGAAAAAAGCACATTGTCCTGTTTAAGGTAGCAGAGAAGCTACCAAATCATCTATATATTAGAAATAAGTTTGTGTACCTAATAAAACTATGTTGAAAATGATTCACCAACCTGATGAGACTATTTATGGAAATGTTTTGTTCCCTCCTGTGTTCAGGACAGCTCGAGGTGACAGCCAGGGAACAGCGCTGTCCTTGATCTCTGCACAGGAGCTGTCCCTGCTGCAGCAGGCAGAGGACGTGCTGTCCGAAGACGCTGATAATCCTGTCATCAAGCCCTACAGGTTCAAAATGGAGGAGATTGAGGGCTTCAGATATAGGGCAAAGGTAACCAACATCCAGCATACAGTAATCAACATGTCTATGTCAATGAAGGTTTTATAGTAGACATCCAGATAGAACATTACATAATGCAAAACAAATCAAGCAACTGGAAAGATTTTCTGGAGAGCCAGACATTTTAGATAGCATCTACTATCTTCATCAGTGACTGAGAATTAGGCTGACACAAATTCATCTGCTGATGCTACATATTTGCAGACAGTTCAGAGATTTCTTCATTTGTTTGATTTACCAGTATTTGTGTGGTGCACATGCGTGTGTGTGCGTATGTATGTGTGGCCATGCTTTTGACTTACTTGCCATGGGTGGATTGTGGTGGTCTTTGTGAAAGTGATGGTGCTGGTCAATTTTGTTGGCAAACGAGTGTTGACTAGAAAGCAACAGCCAGCTTTGTCGTTTGAGTGCCATGTGACCAGACCAGCCAAAACAGCCCCTAATTTTACAACTATCCGGTTTGTTTTACAGGATGCTCTGCGTTCAGTCACCAAGACAAGTGTACGAGAGGCCAGACTTAAAGAGATCCGATCAGAAATCTTGAACTCTGAAAAGCTGAAGGTAAACAAAATTAATGTACATTCCCCCATATGGTATACATGTATTGTATAGGAGTGTGTTGTTTTCAGGAATTGGTACATTGTATGTACTGTAAATTGTGTCAAAAATAAACTTAAAACTATATAAGTAAAGTATGTTTTATTAAAGATGATCACTGGATGTACAATTTTTTAACAAAGACTTATGTCTTCTTGATTCTAGTCCTACTTTGAAGACAACCCTCGAGACCTTCAGGTGTTGAGACATGACAAGGCCCTGGCAGCATCCAGAGTAAAACCCCACATGAAGAATGTTCCTGAATATTTAAGTAAGTTTTTCTGCTAGCATCTTCCCATTCCTTCAAATGAGTTCCTAGAAATGTTTGTTCTGGTGTGGAAGTCAGTGAATACCAATTGTTACAGGATAAAACTCTACTTTTTGTAAAGGCTCCTGAACATTTGATTTTCAGTACTGTATGTGGTGAGGAGAACTGGATTATTGTTCACTCAGCATCCATTCTTGGATGCAAACTCACTCAGCCCTTTTAATGTTTTTCCAATGTATTGTTTGCCAACTATAAGAGCACTTGGTCATATGTACAATAGGGGCACACCACAGGTTATATCTTATGTTCTCCCCAACAGTGCCCCCCAGTATGAAGTCCAACAGTAGTGTGATCACCAAGAGACCACAACACTTCCAGGGAGGTCGCAGGGAGCAGAAAAGACACAAGGTAGGACTTCTGTCATGCAATGGAAAACAGAATTGTTTCACTTCAGCATAAAATCTCACCTGTGTTGGGGAATAACATAATGGAAGCATTAAACCTTCCACTAACTCAAAGAAATGGAGACTTAAGCTAAATTTTCAACCTGCTTGCTGATTTGATACTGTGTGATGTCCTTTAAAAAAGCTACATGTTTTAAACAACTGCACTTGATTTGCACTCTTCTTCATTGCAGTGTTAATATGTTTTATGTGACTATCTCTAAATTTTTGTCTTTCAGAAGAGAAAAGAAGATCCACTTAGAAGTTTTAAGTACAGAAAAGAAGAGAGTTAATCCTGTCTATATCTGTGATATCCATGTTATCCTGTATATTGTGTAAGATACATAATTGTAAGTATGGATAGCAAGAATCAGTCAATCATCCATGGGCATCAATGCTGATGCATGGTGGCTGTAGACTTCTCTCTCCAGGATGTTCTATTTTCAGCACAGGACCCCCCCCTCCCCAGTGGCTCTGGTGACCCCTCTGTGATCCCTCTGTTCATGAGAGTGTTGAAGACTTACTCGTCCCACCTTGATCTGGGGCATCTGCTAGGGTGGTTCTAGAAAACTTGTAGCTCGGATCTTGATCTGAGGTGGCCAGTTTTATCAGAAAGTAAAAAATAAGACATGGATCAAATGTAATGCAAATTATAGAGATATACCATGAAACATTCTGTCAGAGTAATTTTACGGGTCAGTCAGTCTCTTGCTTTTGCACCAAACTGGCACATTGTTTGTCACAAAGAATTTCTGGCATGTTTACATATTTTCACTGTAAACAAGTTGAACACACTTCTATCACAAAGAGCATGGGTCCCACACAGACAGGGCATTAAACAGAATTGTTTACTTGTTGTGGACACAATGTTGTAGGCTGTTTGGGGACTTTGGGTAAGTATTGTTGGAAGAGATGTCATTACAGCTGTCTATTGGACCATACATGGATATACTGAGTTTGACAATGTAGCAAGGTTTTCCTTGGAGAAGGATTGCCTTAATTGCTTACTTACAACACACCCTGTCCAGTAGAGGCTGAAACTGCAAAGTGTCATGAAAATGGAATAACCCATTAAATTTTGTGCTTTCTAACTTATCTGCTAATTCTCCATCTTACTTGTGTTTTTCAATGTAATACCAACATAAAGTGACTATTTGTAAGTGATAGCACATGTAGTAGTATTATCCAGTATTAGATTATAGTGTTGTGGGGGTCTTCTGTTCTTCTACACTTCTACACACTACACTTCCAGGTAGCTCTTTGGAATGTTAACTTGTACATGAGTTCCACTGTATGAAAATCTTAAGAAAAGTCCTGACTCCTGAGTGACTGACAACAAGATTTGGTGCAAGTTGTCAGTGAACCATCCATCATTCATTACATGTCTGTTTGTGGGATGACAGAAATAGAAATTATGTGTTTTTGTTTGACAAAGAAAAAATAAATATCCGTGACCAGGGTTTGTCTGGGTGTTGCACTTAACAAATGACTCTGTTGGCAACATTTCAAACAAGCAAGAAGGTGTGAAACTGGGCTGCATGTGTTTCTCACATGAAGTACCAAACACACGAGGTGCCTGGATAGAATTTTAAAATTCTAGACTCTGGTAAAACTGAGCATCCAGCTGCAATCAGGGACATCCTCTCAGATGGGACATAAAGCTGGAGGTGTTTGAGGTGAGCCAGAGCCACACCTTGAGCCACACCTTGAAAGAACATTGTCATTATTTTTCAACCCTTTTTTAAATCGTAGGTAAAATACCTGACAATTTCATAATTCAAGCTATTTTAAGGCCAGATTTGACTTGATTTTTTGAATGGTATCTTTGGGACACTAAAAAAGGTGCAAGCGGGTGCATAAAGGGTTGAAATGGGCTCCCAAAAAATATTATGCCTAAATTTTGACATCCAAGTCATTAAACAAAGTATATTATTACAGAACGTCATTTCAACAATCAGGAGGTTTGTTTGAGAGGAGGCAGACAGAAACAGGTGTCCCGCTCCAGTAACCATCTGGCCACATGTACATTGTACACTGACCCATATACACCTGCTGCTCAACAAGAACAATGATCAAGCAATCAGAACCTTTCTTATCACAATTATTTACTGACCGACTTTTACACAATATTACTCTGTTAGTCATTTGAACTTAGTCGACAGGTATGAACTCTCAATTGTTCCATGTTAAAAAGCTCTAGTCTATAACCAATCCTTGAAGCCCTTTCTCATGACAGAATGGTGTTGACATTACATGTATGTAAGGGACCCCTGTCTCGTTTATTTTTCCTTTGATGTTTTTAAGTGGCCCTTGGATGCCGACAAATAAACCTCTTCGTTGTGTAGAAAGAGTCTCTTTATTCAGAAGTAATTAACATTTTTCACAGAAAAGTGGCACTTGGGATGAATTCACATCTGTAGAATAACCAGGCCTGTATTTGTTAATGGTCAGTATAGATGTGAGAAACAAAGTGAATGGCTAAACATTGGTGTTCTTTTTATTGCCTGCCTTCTGCCTGCCTAAGTACTCAGGCCAGAATCTGGTCCCTTGCTCCTCTCTGTAAGCTACATTGTACCTACAAATAGCATGGTCCCAAGCCATATCTTCTGTTTGTAAACTTAATGCTTAATCTTTTACAATTTGGTCTTTCCAGCACTTGGGGAGTCCTTTTTTAGTGAGGTATAGGAAATTCAGTCAAGAAGAAGACATTCAAATGAACACAAACACACTTCAGATAGTATTACCACATTTTATTTCATCGTCTGGAGTATAATAGTCATAGCCTAGGTGCCAGCCTATTCTCAGGCAATCATACTCCCTCCCTGGCAAAGGGAACGAGTATGGGAGCCTTAGTTAACTAAATAGGATGGCACCCAGGCTATGGTAGTCATTCTGATATAGGATGATATCAATTAGTAGATTTTTGGAGGCTACTTAGAATACAGTTGTACGGCGGTATTAGAACTGAACAGAAAAACTGCTCAAATGAGCAAAGATTAAAATTGGTTTATGTTTATATATAAACACTGATAGTATGTGCCACTTCATGTTAGTGCAATGAACTTTCCAATACATCTAGATGTGTTAGAATAAATGCAGCAAATCATGGTCAAGTCTGAGGAATGCAAATGTTAATGAAAGGGATTGTCCAGATATAGATATCCTTTACTCTTAAATCGGTAGTACTAGTACTTCTCGTAGTCGTTATGCCAGATGCGTAGTCGTTTGATGGGATGTGACGTCTGACCGGATGTGGTGTATAGTCTAGATTTTGACATTTTGGTCGAACTGAGGCGTAGAGAATTTGTTACCACGTATCTCATAGTAACAGCACAAGATGTTGTTGGGTTCGTCTCCCGATCGCCCACAGCCAAAGGCGGTTGTGTCCTTCCACACAATCTGAAGAAACAGTAAGGAGACGTTTAACGAGACATTTTCTACAAGATTAGACCTGCGATAAGTAATTGTATGGGTAAAGAAATGAACGTGGACTATCAAGAACCGTGTCTAAGCATGGTTTTGGACAAAGTAGGGTTCTGGAACAAGTCGAACAGCCGTACTAACCTGGGTAAAGTGGCCGTATTGCTCGATACCGGACCTGGTAACAGGACGTCCGCGCCTCCGAGCTTGGACGTAGATTTCCACCTCCTCGTACCAGGACTTGACGGCGTTACTGTACCTAGTCTCCCCGGTACAGCCCGGCACGCTGTTGAACGTCCAGTACAGGTTCTCCCCATGCCTGAAGAGAACACATCGATAGTGAAGGATCCTTCATATTACATATTCTTGCCTGGAGTGAATACATCAACAACAATATAATGCTGCTCTCGAAGCGATGACTTCGCGTGGCGTATGGTCAAAGCGGTTGCCTCAGAACCAAGAACAGCTTTTGGGTTCGCTTCGTTGATAGTGTTTCCTAACGCGGCCTGGTGAACACACACGAATTTGGTGTTGTGCAATGATCTTCACATTTGCTACTAAGTGGTTTTTTTTAATGAAACGAAGATAACAATTTATATAGATTGATTCATTGAAATCTGGCGCGGAATCCAGGTGTGCGAATGCAGACTGAAGAATGAAGCTTCATCATTACAGCAAGAACATCGTGTAAATTTCTTTTCTTTTAAATTTCTTCAAACCCCTGAGAAGAAAGTTGTTTTGCATTGATCTCTGGTGTACGTCCTCTATTTTTTTGGCCGCCAAGACAATGTCAATGGAATATTTTGTATCTGTGTGTGTGTGTGGGGGGGGGGGGTCGTTCAAAGGGAAAAGTAATAGTAATATTAAATAAATTCATGATTGTTTCCCGAGGACACAACGTTTAGCCAGGAATGCCAGGGATCGAACCCGTGACCTCATGATCTTTTATACACGAGCCTAGTCACTCAGCCATTCAACGCCACATGCTACAATACAATGCTACAAATGGATTTATAAACGTGACTTACACGACGGCCTGCCCATCCACAGCCCAGGTCCGCTCCGCGCGAGTGGCGTGTTTGAGAGGGTGAACTCTGAAGCCGCTCCTGACGAAACGATTCTTCAGCTTCTCCGCGTACCTTCTAGCCTCCTCTGCGCACTTCTGCAAGAGGAACCGTCAAACACTTCATTTGTCTGAAATCCAAAATTTAGCAAAGCCTAAAGCATGCGTTAATTTTCACTGGAGTGAAGAAAATGGACCTTTATGCATGAATTCAGATCGAAATTTGTGCATTTTTTGTCATCCTCTACTGTCAGAGGTGAAGCATGGGGCTACTAATGCAATGTGGCTTTGGTACGGCTCAAGTATTTAGCCAAGCACACCGGGTACGGTATTATTGATACCGAATTTACCGAGCTCGGTATTATTGGTCCGGGAGTCTGATCCCCTGACAAAGTTTTCAATCTGAAATCCATAAACACCATATTTCCTGCATGCCGAGGGACATGTTTTTCTGGTACACCAAACTACGACGCCTCTACAATGTTTTGAAAAGAGATAGCTCCTGACCTCGTCCCATTGTAAGGGAGCTGCGTCGTGGAGGACCCGAATGGCGTTGTGACTGGTCATGCACTCCTCTTCGAATTGCGTCAATTGTACTGTGTGAGAAAAAAACCACAAGAAGAACGTTATGAGATATCAACAACAACAAATAACAGCCCCACGCTAGCCTACACCAGGTCAAGCTTCCTTCGCGGTTATGGATAGTAGAATTTGGCAAAAAATAGCGTGAGCCCCAAATGAACTTTTTGACGCCTAAACTCTCCAGCTTGTAAATATTGGCTCCCCGTTGCCGGCGTAGTTAGTCTGCTGGTAGAGACTAGTCAAATAACTGATAGTACCGATGAGACTAAAACTGTCTGACCACAGCAACAACAATTGATGCCTCGATGAAGGTTAGGCAGAATATTACGAAATACAAAATTAATCAAGCAAATGGATAACTGTACTGAAGTGTGTGACGTTGCAGATAACAGCCGATATCTTTCATCGGTGACGGAAAATGTGTTTTGACTTTTGTCAATACAATTGCAAATACGATACCGCTCTCTTGAGTGGATATTTGATAAGAATTAACATTCAACTTTTCGGTTGACACTGCAAAACGGAGAAGAACATGCTATATTATGTTATGTCGTTAACGGTCCGGCCACATACGTCGTACGATCGTCGTACGATCGCATTCATGTGTCCTGCAAAATTCTGCTGTCTTGTTACGGATAAGGCTGTCTTAAATCCTTGTTGGTTCTGTCGCAGCCTGCCGTTAAAAATTCTATGGCATCATGTAACGTGGAGCACGGGGAAACTACATGTACTCATCCGGGAACTGGAGAAATGAATCACGGATCACAAGACTAAAATTAATAACTGACGTCTTTATCATGATTTTTTAAAATCATCTGGAATCCGTACAGGCCAAATCGTTCGAAGATCCCAAAGGTCCTTCAATTAGCAATCTTTAGTACTTATTTTTATTTACTAATTATCTGTCATGACCGACGTTGCTTTTTTGCGTTCATCACTTGCTCAATAGTTTAGGTCTTGTGGAAGTGTATCCTGGATGCCAGCCTGTTTCCAGGGTCTGCTAGGCCAGCTCCTCGGTTGAAGTACCAACAGCCCCCAAGGAAATGTTACACCCCCTCCCCTGACTTAGACCCTAAGAACTCAAGGAGCCGGGCGAGCTGTGGTAAAATTTCCTTAGGGATATGTAAACGGCTAACGGCCCGATACTAGTTTGGCACCAAGGGTATGTTGGTACTAGACTAGACGAGGAGTTGGCTTGTGCAAGCCCTGGAAATAGTCTGGCGTCCAGGCTCGAGAAAATGGGGTCCTGTCGTAACCAAAAAGCGTTCCTATCTAGTTTATATGCCTCAATGGTCGATGATCAGACACTGTTCTGTATACCCGAGGACTATTCCATAATCGTGCCTGAGCCGCTCTAGACAAAGCACGTTTCTGAGCAGGTCCTTACCGTTAGCAGGGCAAAAGTCTCCGCTCTTCTGGCAGCAGGCTTGGGCCAGGTCGAGCAGGTCTGGACTCGCAAGGACAGCGTTGCAGCTGCCTACAGGAAGGTGATCGATGCACTCCCCCTCTGTGAAAATCATGAACAAGATTCAGTGGTAAACTTTTCCTGAAAATGCGCACTCATTAGCCTCCACACCAGGCATTCCTAAATAGTAAGATGTACAGCAATAATAGAATAATAGGTTAGGTCAGGCATTGGCCCAGGAGAGTGAGCCCACTGGTAGTGCTCAGGAAAATGTGGTAGCAAAACTCTTAATAACATGTAAGAACAAGTATAAGTCTCGTGCTACGTAGAATTGAAGCAACCAATTGCGCTTCACAAAAATTGACCAACAACACTTACACCCCAATTTCCACTTGGGCCGCGATTCCTGCTGCATGGACACTCGTGAACTATTCACGAATTCGGAACCGTGCTGGGCATGGTTCTACATGTAGATACAACACTACGCCTCACAGAAAAAAGGCATACAGACCCTCGACAAGAGATAGCCTTACCTTCAGTACTCGTGCAGTTTCCACACGACTTTTTGCAGTATGTGTGCATCCATGACTTATATGTCTCGCAGACCCCGGTCAGGGCCCAGTAGCGACATGCGCATTGGTCGTAGAAAGTGTCTTCACACACGTCATCTGCAGAGCGCGGCTAGAGTGGACATATAGAAACGTACGATTTTATTGAGATTTTATTTTCAACAATGAGATCAGACAACTGTTAGGCTTGAACCACACACCAGTAAGGACCCTAGTCTTTTCGATAAATGTGATTGGATCTTAAACGAGGCGTGGCTCACCTCAAACACGAGACCTCCGCTTTACCTCCTACGGAAGACGTCTCTAATCGAAGCTAGATACTCATATTCATTCACCTGAGACCTGTGAGGTGTAAAATGTCTTTCTCAAAGGTACAACACCAGGGCATATAAAAAAAGATAGTTCCAAAGCTTTTGGGACAGTGAGTTGTTAGCCCACTGTGTCTAGGACATTGGTAGGTGGATCTCTCTTCTTCTTCGAGCTTCGTCGTTTGCATTCTCAGCCGAAGTCAGGTACCAAGTTTAAGTGATCTGTCTATATCGCGTCCGTTAGCCCAGCCGCCCGACCTGGCCCACACGAGTCACGGCGCCCTAAATATGAACATGAATCTAGAAACCCTAGAAACAAGTTGGGCACTACTCAAGAACGGATATCGTCTTTGTGGATCACAGGGAGGACTGCTTAGGCACGCCCTTACCTCACACACAAACAACAGACAAACCTGTCTCTTCTCGCGATCCGCAGGCTCCCTGCTTTCAAGCGCCTCCTGGAGGATGCGATGGGCGACATCCGGCATCGGCGGGGTTGCCATGGAGGTGTAAGTCGACACGCCTGGCAGGACATATCCGTCGCTGTCTACAAAGAAGAATCGACAGCAGGTGATTGTACAGCCATATTTGTTCGTTAGTAACACACCGGTTTTGTACAGTGTAAGACCAGACTGTAGGTTTTTTTCCACTCACATTGGGATGGTCCTCTTATCGAGAAGTTGATCCAAAAATGGATCAAGCTGTATGATTGTTGGAATACTATGCACGATGTAAAATTATGATTTAAAAGACACACAGAACGTGAAAATAAATCATTTTTGAGCGCCTAAAGACATGAAGAAGAAACTTGCCATCCTCCAGATCGTCTTCTGTTGGAGCACACTTCACAGCGGCCGGGAGGAACGCGAGGCAGAAGGCCAGCACGGGAACCAGCGGGCGCATCTTGGCAGTCTGTCGGCCCTTCGGCGATGATGTGCGGGATGGAAACTGTCGGCTCTTCGGCGATGAAGTTCGGTCTGGAGACGGTTGGCTTGCACTCTTCCTAGGTCTGAGGACCAACTGAAGACGCGTTTTGAGCCGGCTCGAGGTATGTCTTGTTTTATACTCTTTGCTCAGCGTTCATTGGCTGCAACATTGTTGGACTCCAGGAGAAAAAGAAAAAAGACAAGACCAAGTAGCAGAGAAAACGTGATGCTGAAAAGGCGTAAAGACGTGATCTTGAACCAATGAAGACCTGCATTTACAGAACAATATCCGAATACATTCGTGAATAACACAAATGGAAACTAGACATAATGAAATGTTGAAAAGTGCCATTTTATAGGCTGATCAAAACAGCGCTTTCTCACAAAGGTTCGTCAATTTACACATTTACACTGAAGAGCAAAAATAGAAGCCCGCACTGAGGCTCCTGATCAACGACCGTTATCCTCCTCAAATAAACATCCCCGCACTGACAGCAGCAAACAGTTCTGATCAGCTATTGTTTTGCCTTGACAGAAGTCACTCGTCGTAGCAGAACGTTCTGATGATCTATTGTTTTGTCTTGACAGAAGTCACTCATTGTAGCAGAACGTTTATCTACTCTGTCCTGTCATCAAACTGTGTAAAGTACGAGGAGCACGGCCACGCGGTCTGGGCATGTTGTAGACATGTAAGAAAGTCAAGGTTGCGCCTTAGTGCTGCGTACCTAAACCGGTAAAGGTAACAAATCTTATTCCCTTTTAATAAATGGTTTATTGGCCCGTGCAATCACCCGTGCAATCGCAGCCTTATAGTGCTGAATTGACGCAGGGTTTACAATCAGATGATACAAATGGTAATAATACACATAATAATACACATAATACACAATGTCATGATACATATTTGTTCCACATTTTTGTGGAACTGCCGCAAGGGTCTGTGCGGCTGCCATTCGGCGCCACAAGGTGACCTTAATACGACTTTCCCCAACCGAAGTTAGGTACCCATTCACACCTGGGTGGAGTGAGGAAAGTCGCGTAAAGTGCCTTTCCCAAGGACACATCGTCGGGCGTATGTCCAGATATGTCCTGGGTACTACTCGGGATCGAACCCGGGTCTCCCGATTCACAGTCGAATGATCTACCATTACACCACCCGACGCCACAACAACTTTTGTAAGTCGTCTTGTCTTTTGAACAATACAGTACTTGAAATGATAATTGATATCGCATTTCAATTATTAAATCAAGGGTCAAACAAATCCATTGTTGTCGATGTACGGTCTCTCGGCGATGAAAACCCTTTCTGCACAACAATGCACGTGTTCCTCAGAGGCAACCAACATGCTGCCTTGAATATTGAACTTCAAAATCACCATATTGACTGGCAAGGAAGCTAACTGGCATTTTGATTACCAACAAAAGTGCGAAGCTGTCATTACACAATAAAGATACGCCCCAGGCTGAGACCTGCAGATGATTTAGCGAGAGAAGTTTTAGTTTGACCAATACTAGCTTCGCTATCTGACTCATTACCTGACAACCTGCTCCCATAATGGCGTCATTGACCGTGTCAGCCAGGAGTTATTTTCATTGGTTGTGTTGCGCATGTGTCCTGACTAAAGAGATGGGTGTTTGGGCCAACAAGGGATCAACTACATGGAGTGTTCATTTCTTATCTTTGTACAGCATATAAATAGTTCGCTCGGCGAGTCTGTGAGCTCAATTAAGGACATTTTCGCCAGCAACACGACCGGTGTCCTGTCGATCAATTTTAGAGATTGGCCGAAATCCACAGATCACCGAGGCTATTCAATATGACGGAGTAGATTTTCAGGCGAAAGATACGCTCGTCTATGTGGGAATTCTAAAATTTGGCTACCTTCTTGCGAAGTTTTGTTGACGGTGTGACGCCGGCTTTAGAGACACTTTTAACATGACCGTAAGGTCACCGACCCTACACACAATCGGAAGCTGCATAGCACATTTGTTACATTGTGTTTATACTACAATCTTGAATCAAGATGTTTATTCTATTTACAGATCAGCTGACTTACAGGGTTTAAGTTGAATGGTTCTCCAGAGTTAGAGTTCTTGCGGAGGAGGCTCAAACAGCCCCTGACATAGATTATGTCACACAGCCTGGACAGAAACCTCCCCTATATCATAATCATATCATATCATTATGATAAAGGACTATTTTAGACCTGTACAACGTGCTGTGTATGTGGACCAGAACATCCCATGCCAATTTTCAGCTCAACTGCTTCGAATATTGGGTACAAGAGCCAAGATTATGTGTCTAAATACTTAGTATTTCATGGAGGTGTGAGATCGCCGAACTCTAGTTTATTTTTGAAATATATGGGAGAACTTCTATGAGCGTAACAAGTAAACAACTCCAATGATAACAAGCGCCACATTTGATTGCGGAACGGTAATTTCACATTTTATTTCATGTCTTGAATACGATAGTCATTCTAACATAATAAAATGTACATGATGTAGATTTCAAAGAGTCACCTTCACCACAATTCTTCGAGTGCTCATCTTTAATACCATAAGACACAAAGCGAGATAACAGTAAAAACGGTTTAAATGGTCAAAAGAAAATTGATTGTCAACAGACAACAAGCCAATTGCGATAAGATTATCATCATTGAACAAGTCAGACTGTATTACCGGATGAATTACGGAGATTACTTTAGCCGTTTCGAGTGACAGCCATCACTTTTCTGGCAGGCCGAGTAAACACTTACATATGAGTAACTAGAAAAAACGTTAAACATAACAAAGTTACTGGCTCGTTGTCTGACTGATATGTAAATCGGGTTAAGATAGTTATAATGTAGCTCCATGACATATCGCTGACTAAAGACAAGTTCTGAAATTTAAGGCAAACTTGTTAGAACATAACTGTTTAGTAGTTAGGCATCCTTTCATCTCAATAGATAATTCTAGCACTCTGGTGTTATGTCTGTGGGCAGCGTCTTGTCTAATCTGTCCTATCCTAACAGGGAAGTCCCAGCCACAGTTGGAACATAGAAAGGTGGGAACATTCTGGGGGTACTGTCACTGTTATAATCATATACATAGCAACAAGAACATATTATCTAACAACGTAAGACTTACGTAAGACTGTTTTGAAAGAACCTATCTTCGGGGATAGAGCTATACAACTTCCGCATATAATTTCTGTCTTATGTCACTAGTATTACTTGTCATCATAGATCATAATCGTCGTCGTTGTCGGACCGGATGTGACGTAGACGTGTGGTTTAAAGATCGACATTGACATTCCGGTTGAACTGCGTGGTGGAGAGCAAGTTGCCGCTGGCCTCGTACATGCAGACCAGGATGTTGTTGGGTCCATCGCCGGACCTCGCACACCCAACCCCGGTGGATGCCTTCCACAGCATCTGTACCAACAACAAGTATGTTTTTGTATGGAATCCAGGAAGATGATATTAGAGTCATTAGTCATTCTAATCTAATGGATATTTACCATGCATTCCATACATAAAAGTACAGGATGTACATACATGATTATAATACACACACTTCGCAGTTACTGCTTGCATCCTCTTTCCACTAGAGGATGCGAGCACTGAGTAACCAAAATTTGTACAGATGGCTCAGCGAATTTCATTAAGAACCATTTTGTCACGTTTCTGTGTTTTGTAGTCTTTTAAATCATACATTTGCGTCACAGCACAACTTGTTCTCACAAAAAACTAGATAAATTCTCAGAGAATCCATCCAGTTACGAAAAAAGTCCCGTTCCACTTGCTTGATTTTGGACCTAGTCAACACTTACATATGTGTAACTCGAAGACAGAAAGCGGTTGAACACGACAAAGTTACAGCAGGGACAATTAAAATGGCCAAACGGATTACCCACTCGGATTACCCACTAGGATTGGCTTACGGGATGGTAATCCCAAGACTTACCTCATGATGTAAGTTAACTTAGGATACAAGAATACTTATCGAAATAAACTAACGACAGGAAAGAATGATCCCGTACTAACCTGGGTTACGTGGCCGTAAAGGCTGATATCTTTGCGCTTAACAGGACGTCCGCCCCTCCGCTTATTTTTGTAGATTCCCAGCTCCTCGTACCAGGACTCAATGCAGTTTTCGTACCTAGTCTCCCCGGTACAGCTCGGCGCAGAGCTAAACGTCCAGTACATGTTCTCTCCGTGCCTGGAGAGAACACATCGACAATGACGTTGTCAATGTTTGTTTCTTTATTTTTATTTGCACATACATATCAATCAAAAACAATACAGAAAGTAAATTTAACAATCGAACGAAACAGAACATAAAATAATTAACCTAAACAGAATGGATGTGCTGGAGGCGAAAAAAAAGCCTTAGGGCTTATTCTTGTCCTCCTCCATTTCAATTAAAAGGCCTAATGATTATAATAATAATAATGATGATGATAATGATAATGATAATAAAAATGGTAAATAAACAAAATATGAAAAATAACATTAAGTAAACTCATTTCCCACAACAAAATTAAATGGTGATATACAAGCATAAAGAACTAAGGAAATATTGAACGATCGGAATTGGCCAAATAAGTATTTCAGGTGAGTATACTTATTTTGCCAAATCCGATTGTTCAATATTAGTTCTTTAAGCTTGTATATCACCATTTAATTTTGTTGTGGGAAATGAGTTTACTTACTGTTATTTTTCATATGTTGTTTATTTACCATTTGAGAGTAGGTGGTCTGTATACTGTAGGAGACTCGGATGGTTAATGAGAGATATGTTTTCAGCGTACACTAATTAAACAACAGAAATAAAGGTATTGATTGAATATTTGAATGATGGCTGTTCCATATTGTGACACATTTGTATTTTACTGGATTGTGCTAATGAAGTGCGGGTTCTGGGTTCGGATCGTTACTAGGCCAAACTTTTGTGCTCTTGTGAAAGGCACTTAACACCGATTTCCTCACTTGACTCAGAAATAAGTAGTTTTTGTTTTGGACGTCCTCTTGGATGGAACGCAAAGCTGCAAGTTTCATGCTTGAGGAGCTCGAGAGTCACACCTCCAGCACGTTAAAGAACCCACCACACTTATTAGGAAGTGTAGGGGCCCATCCCGGAATGGATCGACCTTACAGTGGCAAAGTCGTAACCAACCGGTAAGATAGGTTCCAATCTGCCAGACAGTATCCAATAGGATTCCGGTGGCCAACTGGATACTGTTTGGCCAATCGGATAGTGTCTGGCGTTCGGATACTGTCTTGTCGGCTGGTTACAACACTGACATCGAAAGATCTGCCTTGAGATTACTGTTTTGTTTTGTGGCGCTGTTAGAATAAGTTTAAAAACTTGAGTGCAGCGCCGCATGGTCCTTGCTATTGTATTTTTATGTGCTGATGAATAAACAAAGAGTATTGTTGACTTACTGACAGCTCTTCCCATCCACAACCCAGGTCCGCTCCCTCCGAGTGGAGTGTTTGAGAGGGTGAACTTTGAACCCGCTCCTGACGAAACGATTCTTCAGCTTTATGGCGACCCTTTTGGACTCCTCTGCGCACTTCTGCATAAAGGAACCGTCAAAAATTATCGATCTTCTTCTTTTGTCATCCTCGACTGAGGTAAAGCATAGTGTTTCTTCAAGTAGCTACTCGTGCAATGCAGATTCGCTGCGGCTCGAATATCTAGCCAAGCACACCGGATCATCCATACACTTCTTTATAAGTGTGTTACATTCTTTTACGTGCAGAGGTTTGGTGCCATAAGCTCCCCAGTACACGGGGCCGCCGACTTTACGTCCCAGTCAGAAAGGACGACGAAACATTCGTAAATGTTCACTTGAGTGACGAAACTGAACCTTTATTTACGTATTCTTTAAGGTGTGCTTTTAGATCGGATTTCGTGTAATGGAAGACAAATGCATTCTCATCATGAAATTGAAATCATAAACCGAAAGAAGCAGCCTTTTTCAAACAGTTACCACATTCACCACAACATTTCGTTATTCAGACATTAATTCTGGCGATTAAAATATTCGTTTGAATGTCGCTGTTACTAACTAGTGTTAGCGTTAAGGAGATATGGCCCCCTTAAAGCTGCTTACCTCGCACCAGGCCATTGGAGGCGTGTTGTGAATTTGACGCTTTGCGTTGTGGTTGTCCAAACAGTTTTGGTCGAATTCTGTGTCGAGCAAAATTAACTAGATATTAACAACGACAACAACAAAAAAACGACTTTAAAAAATATATTCACGATTCGTAAATGTATTCACACCCAAATTAAATCTCATACCATTCAATTTGGGTCTGATATAATTTGAGAAATTGATCAAAGTCTTTGTTAGCTCACCGGACAGTTGAGAAGTAGGAGGTGGAGGAGCTGAAAAACAAAACGAAAATCATTATTTCTTGTCCGGTTAATCGACGCCACTCAGGCTCCGTGTCCACCAGACGGTGACTCCTGGGCGACCGTACAGCGACCAAAACTGGATTTGTGTGACCCTCGATTTTATAATTGGACATTGATACACGATGTACAACGCCGAAGACACAGAACCTTATCAAAAGTATAGTTGTTTATCTCTGATTCGTTGAGCGTTGAAATTTGTTGTCAAATCTTTGGTCGCTCGGCGGTCGCGAGTGAAAAGGGGGCGTAAATCAGACAATGACAAAAATCAAAACTAATTTATGGACACAAAATTACGCTTTAGTTGTACCGCGACCATATGCCGCCCGCTACGATGAAAGTAACGGAGATGCGTTTACACTGTTACAAAACTAGCCACTCCACATCACGCCTGGAGGCTGTGAGGACTGATTTCTGTAGTGACAGGGAATCCTAAGATCTTATTGGACTGATTTTCTCAATGATAAAGAATCCTATTTGTAGCTCTGGGAATGGTTCTCGAGTTAGAGGTGTATACAAACTTTTGGGGAGGAGACCCTATCAGCCCTTGATAGCGAGAGATATATGTGTGACACAGGCTAATTATGAAACATGCCCTCATTCACAACCTCTACAAACAAAACAAAAAGACATTAGAGCAACATGGAATCAACTAAGCAGGAGCCTTACACGCAACAGATGTCTTTACATCAACTGAAGAAGAAAAAGATTTCCTTACTGGGGCAAAGGTCGAAAGTCTCGGGACAACATTCTACGGCAATTGGATGCGAGGCAGAAACTGTCTCGGACATGTCTTTGCAGTAGTCGGAAGAAGGCCAGACGTCCTCACAAGTCTCCTCTGTATGTAGGAAGAACAACACCACACTGTTGCTTTCGTTTCATCTTGTATATTCTATGTATTGCTGTTATTGTGTTCCTTTCAAATGTATTTTTTATATTTGTTTATGCATGTTCTTATAAGCATATTTGTTCTTGCATAAAATCCTCTTTAAACGGATGTGAATAAAAACTGCAGACTTACCTGGCTTGATGCAGAAATCGTAATGCTGTGCACATGACTTCGGGCAAAAAATTGTCATGAATTGCTGGAAATAGCCCGTGCAGAAGCCTTGTTTAGCCCATATACGACAACGGCACCTGTAGTAGAAAAAGTCTTGGCTGCAGTCTTTTCCGGCAGCCTGGGGTGAAAAAAAAACAGGACACTGCTAAGGCCCCGTTTCCACCAGAGGCTACTAGAATCAACCACCAATTTAACAAGGACCTGAGATAGCATTTTCCATAATTAACAAGAAAACTGAAATTTGCAGAATACATGCACTACTACGCACCAAATTTCTGCTCTGCCAGATTTCCCCCTGGGTTGGAGTCAAGACTATCAATAGTATCCACAGCACGACCAGTCCCATCTAAACCCTTTGTCCCAGGTATATTGGAAACCCCAAGTAGTCCCAAAGCAAATATGTGGCAGGGGGAAATTCTGGCTTAGCCCTGGCAGGAATATAACTTTTTCTCTCTAAGCCTCACCCTCTTCTTGATCTCGTGGTCTTCAAATTCGTCAGCTTCTTCTATTTCCTGTCCATCTGGTGGTTCGGGGATCGGCTCGTGAGCCAGGACCTCTTGTAAATCCTCTGGGATCGGGGGGGTTTGGATGGAGTGCGCGTTCGCATCAGGCAGGACCGTGTCTAGATCTAATATGATACAGAATACAGGACAGTGTTATTGGTTTTTCGCGTTTAAAATATAGAACTATAAATCAATGCACAATATTCAAAATCTACATATAGATATCAAGAAGCCGACGCACTCGAAAAGAACCGGGGTCCTTCCCGGTGTGAGAAGTTTAAACCTTACAGCCTGGTCTCATGGTTGATATCTTAAAAAAGGTGATAGCCACCTGTTATGACAACCCTTCCACAAATTAGGTAAATTGAGGGCTAGGAATAATGCTGTGTTTCCCGTTACCGGACGGCCCCTGACAAACACTCGTACTCGCCAACCCTAGCCTTTTTTGTGTGGACAGCTAGCAAGTCCATAAAATGACATCGCGCATTTCACACCCTCTGAAACGCATTTTCAAGTAAATCTGGTGAAATGATTGTCTCTTAACCATAATCTATAACGGAGGGAGGGGTCCTGGAGACAGTCTCGACCCTCGTGCAATTGTTTGTCAAATCAAGGCAGCCAAAATCTTTAAATGTCCCAAACCACCTACCCTAATTTCTTTCAGGACTGTAACCAGAATTACATTTTTGGAGCGCCTAAAGACATGAAGAAGAAACTTGCCATCCTCGAGATCGTCTTCTGTTGGAGCACACTTCACAGCGGCCGGGAGGAACGCGAGGCAGAAGGCCAGCACGGGAACCAGCGGGCGCATCTTGGCAGTCTGTCGGCCCTTCGGCGATGATGTGCGGGCTGGAAACTGTCGGCTCTTCGGCGATGAAGTTCGGTCTGGAGACGGTTGGCTTGCACTCTTCCTAGGTCTGAGGACCAACTGAAGACGCGTTCTGAGCCGGCTCGAGGTATGTCTTGTTTTATACTCCTTGCTCAGCGGGCTAAAGTCAAGTTGACGGCCTAAGGATTGATTTTTCAGTCCGACATCAAAGTATGTTATCGGTACGTTGTCGGTGGCGAATTACGGGACCGACAGCCCGCCGTTGCCACAGTCGGTACGACGACCCGACGACGCCATCCGTCGATCGATCGATCGGCGGAACACGGTCGAGCCTTAAAACACGGTCGGAGCTTTAAAACACGGTCGAGCCTTAAAACACGGTCGGAGCTTTAAAACACGGTCGAGCCTTAAAACACGGTCGAGCCTTAAAACACGGTCGAGCCTTAAAACACGGTCGGAGCTTACGGCCAGGTTGGGCGGGGATTAACTCTATAGGGGGGAGGGACTCATTAACACCTTCGAAAATGGGATGTGTATTGGCCATTAATCAACTAGTTAGTCAGATTGGACACATGAGTAGTTAATATGATCTATCTCTTCCTCTTTAATATTTCTTATATTTGTAGGGTGAGTTTCATGTTACTTCACTTTTACTTTTAGTACCGCCCTTCTGGAAAGATTATGTAACTTAAATATTGAATTGTATAGAGGACGGATATCACTTTGTAGTTAAGAGAGAAATGAACTGTATAGGTTCATACAAAACCTATTACTGGATACCGGGGTAGGTTTGTACAAAACTTTTGCCTCCTTCAAACAGCACCGTTGAAAAGTTTATATTCCCAATGCAACAAGACAAACCTTCCATTGAAAAACATATCGTATAGAATTTGGTCTAATTAGATCGTATGATGACCCAGAATTACCAGTTAAGTGCCCGTATAAAGACACCGGACCACGAGAAGTTGAATTTATCTAATGAGAGTTTTATTATGCTGAGTGTGGCAAAAATGTGCTCCTGAGGACCACAGGGTGATTACAGGCTTATGTGTCTGGTTCAACTTTTCACTTGACACCCATCTCTCTGTACATGTATATATGATTGCAATCTGACATTTACATTTCTTTTGGACATATGGGTTCTTATGACTTTCTCATGTTATAGTTCAGACGTGAATGTTGCATCTACAATCATGGTAGAGTAAGACATAGCTATAGGCACACCCACTGTCGTTGAAGTCTTCATTTTCTATGATACTACTCTTTGAAATTAAAAAAATATGATAAAAGGTAAGTAAACCGCCACCAGCCTTTTATTCTAGGTGTTACAAGCAAGCTGAATAAACATGTTTTCATCTATTTTGTTAACATGTTTACAATGAAAATATTATATCATCATGTTTACACATGTTTCTTGTATTTCAGTACCCTATCAAACTTTTCTGCAGTCAGTGTTCCCACAGCTCCCCTGCTTAACTGTGTAACTCCTTCATACTACTGCACTTAGTTTTCCTCAATACAACCTTTCACTGTGGTCCCCTAGGGCGTCGCTACATAAGTGTGATGTGACTATGTGTGAAGGGAAGCTGTTTGCTGCTCTCCTGTATGGATGCGACCACATTCTGTGCCCAGGCATCCTCGGCATCCTCAGCTGTGCCTGTGCATGCATCCACAATCTCCCAAGTGCCTGTGCCCGCAACTGTGCCTGCACCTGTCCCAGCATCGGTCGGGTCAAGTGAAAGGGCGCACTCACAGGAACAGGCGCACCCACGGGAACAGGCGCACCCACGGGAACAGGCGCACCCACGGGGACGGGCGCACCCACGGGAACAGGCACACCCATGGGAACAGACGCACCCACGGGAACGGGCGCACCCACAGGGGCAGGTCCGTCCACGGAGGCAGGTCCGTCCACGGGGGCAGGTCCGTCCACAGGGGCAGGTCCGTCCACGGGGGCAGGTCCGTCCACGGGGGCAGGTCCGTCCACGGGGGCAGGTCCGTTCATGGGGGCAGGTCCAGCCACAAATGCAGTAAGGTCTATGTGCTCCTGCATCTCTCCTGTTATGCAAAGAAACAACAATATGCTGTACATTAGCTTTTGCAAAAAAAAACAACAATATGGTGCATTAGCTTCTTCCTGTCAGCTACATTGAAAACTCAGGTCTAGCTGTGCACCTCTGACCTAGCCCTAAGTGCACAGCTACCATTTACCAGCTAGTTTTCAGTTACAAACAAGCTTCAACCTCTGGTATAGAATATTTGAGGCCAGTTGGCCCAGCTAAAAAATAATTTCTCAATGCTATAAACGCACATCTATGCAGCTGTTAACTACTACAGGCCAGGTAAAATTTAGTCTTCTACTCAGAGAAAAATACATGAATGACACCATAACTGAGAAGACAATGAAAAAGATCTGAGTCAGGAAAATGATCACCCACCATTATCTCTGCTTTTCATTATGACTGGTGACTCTGGCAAGTTCCAGTCAGCTATTGCCACCAGTGCTGGCATTTCGGCTTCTGTGATGCCATATCTCCCCATGACTGGAGAGAAAAAAAACATGAAGAATATTTTGGGCTACCATAAACATGACAGAGAATTACAGCACTAGGTCCTTGTTTTGTATCGTATCTAACTCAAACATTTGGTGCCAATAGACACATAGGTGGGAAAATGTTCAGATATTTGAAGAAAAAAAAGATTATATATTATATATTATATATATTATATAAACCTTATAAAATATCATCACAATCCATTCAGACCCTTTTCAAACCGCAAATACACTCTACCAGAAAAACAAATTTTCCTATATTTCTTGGAAGTGGGGTCAATAGTGCACTGCACAAAATTGGTTAAGTCAAGCCAATTATTACAGTATGAATGAGAACCCAAGTGGTTAATAGTTAGCTTTTAATACAATTATGACACAATGTAAATCAGAACATGAACAGAGGAATTATATTTAGGCACATGGTAACACAATACTCACACTCTTTGCCCTCTTCTGATCCTGGCAGCAGGTGTATATGGAGCGCAGGACTCCCTGTGCCTGCTGCCGTATGACTCACTAGGTTCAAGAACCCCTCGTCCCTGGTGTACCTCTCAAGACTGCAAAAAATTACAATGATAAGCAGAAATGCACAATTCCTTGGCTTGATTCCACATATTAACCTTTGATACCTTCATCTAATTTTAGACTGCAAAACAAGTAATCACAGATTTCAAACATCCTGTTTTTTTTATTCTATTGGTTTAGGTTATTTCTTTGTGTGTAGCACCGTCACTGTCACACAAACACGCATAAACACGCGCCGCCATCA